ATTTGTTGAGTGTCAGAAAATAACTATTATAAGTCTATAATGGTGTGGCCACCCCACTGCTTGGTGCTGAGTGGGCCTCCGGGGGTCCTGTTTGATGCCAGTTCTGCAACAGAGGGAGGCCTTTGCCATTACAAGGCAGATTTCCCTCAACCACAAAATCTTTACGTTCACTGTTTTGCACTCGTTAGCCAAGAGATGGGGGAGAGGAGACTCATCAGAAGCTTTAGTGTTTGATTGAGAGCCCCTCACTTCACACGCACAACAGTTCACGGAACAATGACAGAGTTCGGTAAAGAAGACTTCGGTGAAAAAGTCGCCTGGAAACAGCACTGCATGTTGTTTGGCGAAGTTGGCACAGCCTCTCGGAAGAAACGGGAAATGGCCACGCTGGGCAGGCTGGCAGGGTTTGGGTTGGCACATGTGTAACTTCTAGGATCACCCGCACCAAGTCCTTTCACTCTGGCCTCACTGACAGGAGCACTTGCTTATTTTACAACTGTTAGTTGAGGATATTAAAAAGACCAAATCCATTTTTTTGTTTAATTTTTAAATGTTCTTATAGGGGCTACTTATTAGCATTATGGGGACTTATTTGATAACTACATGAATGTTTTAAAAGGCAAAATCTGCTCTTTTTACATAGGCTTTTTAAAACTACAATTGTTAAAAACAAGGTACTGATGGAATATTTATTTTTCCATAAAAATATAGATAGATTTACAGTAGATAAATACAGCAGGTCCTAGAATAACTTGGTTTTATTCAACATTGTTTTTCTATAATGTTGATGAGATGCCCTGGGAACTAACTCTCATTTATATCAATTAGCCTATAAGAAAATTGTTATATATCATCTTGCTTAAAGTCACAGAACCTAGATGATGTTAAGTGAGGACTTACAGTGTGTCTGTGCATATAATATATATACAAAATGCTATTTTAAAATGGCACAAAGCTTATATTAAGGACAAAAACAATAAATACAGATAGCAGAAAAAATTCTACACTATGTTTGGTTTATCACATCATGTAATATACACCAAAGGTTAGCATTAAAACATGTGATACTTGTATTGATCCATTAAATTACCTAGGACTCCACTTGCAAGAAGCAAATTATTATAGTATGATTTAAGCTATCATGTGGTTTGGGGAGATGACCTCAATGCAGCATAAATGTTGGCTTTGGCAAAGGTCTATTCATCCCTGTCTTTTGATGTCTGCTGTGCCTGCTGACCTCCATGTTTTAGCTCATGTGTTCCTTAAACACCATAGTACAATAATTTGGTGGAAATATTGACTATAATGAATGTAACAGTGGCTCTTGGCATGTGAATTTAGTTATACATATTTTATTTGCTGATGTTTGGGATGACTATAATGTGACCTCCCATACTGCATTATCTGGATCCCTCCTCATTAGGGTTAGGGAATCTTTTTTCTGCCAAGGGCCATTTGGATATTTATAAGATCATTTGTTTAATATAATTTACTTAATATAAGTTCATGCTGCTTTGAAAAAAACTCCTAGGTTTATTGAATTTTGAGTCCTGCCTGTGGTTGCCTTGGCAGGGCCAGACCCAATGATTTTGTGGGCCTTACATGGCCCAGGGGCTGGACCTCCCCACCCCTGCTCTATAAGGAAGAGAAATAAACAACACTAACTGGAGTCCAATGTAAATTGTGGCCAAAGAAGAGATTTCTGCTTTCTGTTGACCCCCTCAGCTCTTAGAAAACAGTGGATACACAAGAAATGTTTTTTGAGAGCATGAAAGACTGTGGTTGTGCACTAGAGAAGAGATCAGGAGGCCCTCTCACCAGCTAGAGCCTTTCTCAACCTCCTCATGGTCATCACATGTGAAGGAAGCAAAGAGATTGGCAAGCCAACTGGGACCCACAGTCTTTGTAGGTGTACCAATCCACCAAAGCACATGTGCATTTGTCTAAAGAAATAACTCCGTGACATGCTCAAACAGGTCTAAATAGAAGCCCCAAATGTTAAGGACCCAGGAGTTCTACGAAGATCTAGCCAGAGCAGAGTCACAAGGGGCAAAGGAAGAAAAATCATAACATTCCCTGAACATGTCAGTATGAAAATAAGAAAAGAGTTTCAATCTATTTACACTCTGTAACTACTTCTTGGTTATAAAGAACGCACATTTTCTAAAGAAGTGGGGATTTTTAAAAAAACACAAATTTATATGGGAAGTTTATATTGTATTTACAGACATTTCTGTAAGCGTGGTAATAAAAAACCAGGAACAGTGAAAATAATGCAAGTCAGAATGCAGACATTGGGCTCTGGTGAGGTGCTACTGACCACATCTCTGCAGTTTTTCCTCAAAACAGCACACTGGACCGATATAAAACTGCTTACATTATTTTAATAACTATAGTTACATTTAATAGAAAGGCTATTTCCTACACCAGTCTTCATCTGAAAAAAATACTCTGCTCTTAGATGTATGTGATAATATTAAAGGACATTCTAGATCCAAAAACTACATTAAGAACTAGGAACATTTTGATTTTTCTGTTAGGATTTAGGTAACCCTGGAAAATGCCCATGGTGTAGCAGACTAGGGAAGAGACACAAATAAGGTTAACCCTTGAACAATTTGAAATCAAATTTTCCTGATGAAGAGAAGACTTCTATTTGACCTCTGAAATCAAAAGTTGTGTGGTCAGAGGAACTCTGTACACTGTGGCTTTCACAGACATGGAAATAATCTTAGAACTCAATATTTTTATCTCATGACAGTGTCCAGCAAATTGTAATGTCCAGAAAAAGAAAAAAGCAAACAAACACAAAAACGACTTGAGTGTTAAAGGTACAGCACTAGATATTCTCCATTCAATGCTGGCCCTCAAAACATTGAAGAATTGACATGTTTTTTACAAAGCCCACATCAAATGGCCATTGTTCTTATCTCATGATCAGGCAGCAGGAGACCCTGTGGTTGAACTTCCCTGGCTACTCTTGTTACTCAGGGGGTGTTTGCTGTTGTCACAGGGCAGCAAAATCCTGTAGCAGGCTTGGAAATGAACCACTGGCCGTTGAGATGGACTGAGCCTGTGATGGGGACTTGGGTTCTGCAGATGGAGAGAGCCGATGTGAGGCCCTGCCTACCTGAGCTGTTTTGTGCTTTTCCCCTATCATTTTGCCCAAGACAAAATAAGGAATTATGAGTTCATCTCCACACTGCTTCCAGGAACATGAGCAGGCATCTAGAGACCAGACAATGGACTCAGCAAGGAGAGGAGGTCCAGAAAATAATGCAAAGTTAACATATGAATCTGAGAATTCCTACTTTATTCCCAAGGCAAGTAGGACTCTTAAATCACACCCACCTTTCCCCACAAACTAGACTGTCATCTTAGGGGAAGAAGCAGGGATGGGGGTAAATACATAAGAGATAGGTCATTTTATCCAAATGGAAGAATGACTACCAACTGAGGAAGATGGCTTAAATGATCAGGCCTGACAGCTTCAAACTTGATTGAACATATAAGTAATTTATCTCCCTTATGCTCACTCACTACTGATTGAGGGCTTGAGAAGAAGACAAGATAAGCTGCAACCAAATGAAGAAAGTAAATTATATATTTTTTTATATACAAGTTGTATTGTGACTGATGTCTTGCAATCGCTATATTTGAAAGATCCTAGACTTTCATTCATGACCCAAAGACATGTTAAAGACTTCATATGCCAACCTCAGAAAAATGTGGGAGTAGCATTGGCTGCCATATGTCAAATTAATCTTCTTCAATACCTGCTTTGCCACATAATTTTAACTGCAGAGGATTCAACCTCTCTTATGCATGGATCTCTCATAACAATTTCTCTATCTTTAAGAGGGATCTTTGGTGCCTAAGGATGGGTCTCCAGATGCACTGAAAATAATCTTGAATCCAAGCCTGGCCTAGTTCAGGGGCCAATCTCAACAGGGGCACAAATAAAGCTAGGTTCTCCCTCCCAGTAATTTAAGAATGGAAACAGTGAGCCCACTTGCTGGGAGTTGTTGGAACTGAGTGACATGAACATCAACATGGCAGAAGACACATGCATTTTAACTCTTCCCAGCAGACCTAGAAGCAGGCGGTCTTCTTTCTCCTTCTGCAGAACTGATTGGTCAACTCCTTAGCTTTAGTGCCTGGAAATGCCACAGTGTTACCTCAATCAATCCCCTCCTTCTGACTAAGTTTTCTAGAGTTCATTTCTGTGTGTGTGTTTTTCAACTTAAAAGAATTTTATATGCTGCCAACAAATATGTGAACAAAAAGTTCTTAGAAATCAGTGCAACTTCCTGGACGGTCAACCACACAGAGTGAAGAAGAAAGTTGGAGACCACAAAGACTCACCTCTCCTGAGCTGGTGTCCACATACTGGAATGGAGAGGCTGTTGCATTCAGGAATGGTGGCGAATGTTCATGATGTCAGCCAGAAGTGTTCCAGAAAGGCACTAGATGTATTCAGAAATACCAGTGCTTTATAGCATGAGGATACCATCTTCTAGGATTAAGTGTTCCAGGGTACGGTCCTTAGAATAATTTTATGACAGTTATGCAGTACTCCTTCTGCTCCATGGGCTTGTATATTCATGTAAAACATGTATGAGGTATCATGAATGCAAGAAGAAAACTAGCTTCAATTTCAAGATAAAAGTCAAAAGAATCAAGAAGTATGACAGCATTCAAGAGCAGAGGCAGAACCAAGCCACTACTCTAAGGATCTAGATACAATGGGGATCTAATTATTTCCTGAACAGAGACCAGGAAAGGAGTTTTGGAACACTGGTGAAAAATAGATAAAAAACTCAATTTTAAAAGCATATATTATTCTAAAGATTTGCTACTAACGCACGGCTCTTTTAACTATACCAGTAAATCAAATTGATGAAATGGTCTCAATATAAAAAAGAACAATTAGTGTTATGTATGAGACATAAATTAAGGGTTGGTTTTCACCTAACTAACATCTTGTAATGTTTTATGTAATTATACAGTAACACAAATTATTGGAACTAATGTCAATGGTTTTATTAAACTAATGACTGTTGGTAGATAGTATATTAACAGTGAATATTTTTATAAACTAGGAAAACACTCTTTAAGTCCATAATATAAAAGGATACTATAAAAGGACCAGTATAGAAATAGACAACTTTGGGGGAAAAGACTTCATCCAATTGTTATAATGGTTTGTTCTGTGTCTGTATAAAGGGTGAAAGAAGGTGAATTTAGCTATACCATTATCACCCGCCCACATTAAGTATGTATGTATTCCCATCTAGTCCATTATAGTCTGCTGTGCTTTTCACTTATAGATTCTTTTTATTAAAAAATATTTGACTCTTTTAATATTAAAAGTACTTAAAAAAGAATAGTATATGTGGGAACTGAAATATTTTTCAAAGCAGTAACTACCTGTGGACTAAGAGTTTTGTGGTACTTTTGTTTTTTGTTGTTTTTTTCCCAGCTATCAATAAGTATTTGGAGAGTGTAAACACTAATGAGAGTGAAGAACTAGGTGGAACAAGGGGATAGTGCTTGGAGTAATGGAATGAAATTAAGAAAAGGGAAATTTAGGTTGATTACTAATTACCAATTGAAAATCTTCTTAACTTTGAGGTCCATTAGCCGGTAGGGTAATCTTCCAAGGGACGTGGTGGGACTCCCATTGCTTAGATGTTTAAAATTAGAGTGGACAGAGCGCTATCAGGAACACCCCGTGGTGAATGAACCGCCTGGTGTGTGGAATGAGGGAGTTCACCTTGGCTGGCTTTATAGGCTCCCACTCCCCCATGACCTGGGGAGAGAAGGGAAGAAAGAAACTTACCCGTCTGTCCCACACAGACCCGACATGCCCAAGTGACGGGGGGATGATTTTAAAATATTTATCCTGCATTTCATCTGGAACAATCTTCCTAACACTTCGACAGAAATCCCCAAAAGGCAGCTTGTGTTGGCAACAAAGACCTTCCCAACATGACATCTTTCTGAGACTCCCGGACACAGGATCTGTGTAGCACTCTGCTTTCCAGCAAAGTAAAAACTGCAGCGACCAGAGAGTGGCATTTAAGTAACGCTGCTGTCATTTGTGGGTGGATATGTCCTCTCTTTCTTGGAAGCAAGGAGAGGGGGGAATGGAAAAGAAGGAGAGCAAGAAGTTGAGTGAGAACAAATCCTATTAGCAATTGGTAAGCAATCCGCCATATTCTCGGGTCCTATAAGAGTGGATAGCAGCAATTACATGAGAAAAACGAGTATTTCTTTTTGTTCCCTGAGAGCCCATTGTGGTACCTGGAATTCAATTTCAGAAAAGGGTTTTTTACTTAATGGGAACATTTCTGGATATTAATATGTTAGAGAAGATGTAGTTATTTCTTCTAATTTTAATGTAATATTACCTCGTACTCTGATAGGGATTCTGTCAATCATAATAAAATAAGAAAGAATGTTATATTCATGTGGTGTTAGATTAGTCTTTCTCAGAATCTCTCTCTTTTGGTTTAAATAAACATACCGATACTCACAAAGAAGTGAGGCATAACCTAATATACACCTTTATGTAAATTTTCTGAGCTGAATGAACAGTGGGAGTTAGAGCTGTGAGGATGAAGATCAGGCGCCCAGGCCTGGTACCTCTCACCACTGCAGGGGAGGCAGAGGAGGGCTGTGTCAGGGGAAGGAGGGCAGAGCTTGTACACTGAAAGTCTGGGTTCAGGAAAACTAGTCTCCTCAGCCAAGTAGAATCCAACAGACCCCAGTCTTCTTACCTTCTGATAGCCAGTGCTTGTCAAAGTAACCCTTGGTCTTCAGAGAAGGAAATTTGGGGCAGGAGACAATAAGCATAATGCAGGGTTTAAAGTTCTCTTCTAAGTGTGTGCACAAGAAGGGAAAGAGTTAATATATTAAAATTGTATCTTACATAAATGTGGGCTGTTTTTGTTTTCCATTTCTTCCTCACGGTAAATTGTTCTTATGAGTTCAATGTTTTACTCGATTACAAAATTACTGAAGTTTAAGTCAGTCAATAAAAATATCTCACTCCTACCTATGGGTTTCACACATGAAATGAACATTTTTCAGGAAAAAAAATATCTTTTTCTCTCTTATGACAAAAAATTTCTCCAGAAATGTGTTATTGTAGACAAGGAAATCTATGTTCAGAGTTCAGACACTATTGCTTCGACTTGGTGCTTCAAACAGATTCATGTGGCACCATTTAATAGGAATGGTTCCTGGGGGTAACCTGGGTCTTAGTTTTGAGCTCAAGGTTCACAGCAATTGGCAATGTGTGCCAACCAGTAGGCTGTGCAGTCCCCAGAGAGCTGTGCTGTGACTGTGGCCACCCTCAGGAGGGCCACAGCCTACAGCGCAGTTTTCACCTGAAAAGCCAAAGAAAGAGACCAAATTTGAGAGGAAGTACAAAAGCACCATGTCCATTTTCTTTCTCTTTTTTTCATTCTTGACCAAGCTGACAAGAAAGGTTGATAGTTGACAAACTAAATTCTCTAGATAAGAAAGCAAGTGATTTGCTTTCAAGAAAGTGATTGGTTCTGGTCAAGATTCTAGCCTCCCCAAATTACCAGTTATAGTATCTTATAGTCAAAATATGAAATCTGAGCAATATTATTAATCTGAAATAAATACAAAAAATGTTTTCACTACATAAAAAGCAACATGTCTAGGAATATTTTATAGTCACTCAAATCTACCTTGACAGCTGAGTAGACACAGTATGAAAATATCCCAGTGCTCACTTCTGGGGTTCAATTGAAGGGATGACTCTGTTCCTAGACTCAAACATTGCAATTTACTTTTGAGACAATAATACTTCACATGTGACTATACTTTTATTTTACCTTTTAAAAATGTTCAGTTTTTATTACTAATTTAGTTTAAATATAACTTAGTTTCACTTAACCAACTGGTAGAAGAAAAATGGAGTTGAAGCTATACATCAATAATATTCACATACAATAATCATCTTGGTCATAATAATAGATCTAGCAGATCATGACCACTTAATGTTCTGCATTACACTTGCTGAAGTAAGCTTTCAAATGAGACTGGAATATTCATTTCACATAAAAATTATGAGTTCTTGACATTAGAGATGCACCAACACTCTTTGTTTTGTTGGCTGGCAGAGTGTTTAGATTCTATATTTTGTAGATAATTTATGTTCCAGTCCATCTCTTGGAGTTCTGGCTTCTCCCAGTCATTCACTTCTACACTAGACCAAGTCCTGGCTGCGGTAGGATTGTCTTTCTCCTCCTCTGCCTCCCCTTTCTTCCTCTCCTCCTCCTCTTCCTCCTTTTCCTCCTCCTTTTCCTCCTCCTCACCCTCCTCCTCCTTCTTTTTTCTCTCATTTCCCCCACTTTAACAGCTAATGCTTTAAATCACTTTCCCATATACTCATGCTCAAGTCCCACTACTTTAAAAAGTCCAGTAGTTTTGCTCTTTCGGGAGCATTTTGCATAATTTTCCTTCTCGTGACTGTGAGATAATATGAAGTATGTGGAGAGCAGCAGGCAAAACAGGAAAACAACACAAGGCCTGTGCAGTGTGAGCGTGTCTGTCCAATGGGGTCCAGGATATTTCTCTGCAGTCTCTGAAGCAGGATAGGGTGAGAGAGACAAAGCTTAGACTAGCCCCTGAGAAGCCCCGTGTTCAGTGAAGTCCCGGGCTTACTCAGCATTCCAGCACTTTCCGTCAAGCTTGGCTGCAACCCTGGAGGCAGGCAGGTCAGAGGAGGAAAGGATGGCATTCAAGGCAGGTGTCATTTCCAAAGCACAGAGTCTGTGAGAAGCATAAATCAGCATTCAGATCAAGTCTTCCCACTTTAAGCTACTTGTTAGCTTAAACCGGGATTCACTTAGCCAATACATGTGCTTCTACTCTGATTGACAAGGGAGAATTTTAGTTAATATGTCAAAGCAGAGAAGCTTATTAATGCTAAAGTTCAGAGACTGCCTTAGTCAATTTTGTCTTCCGACCCCACCCTGGCAGCCCATTGAATTAAATGGCATAAGGGCAGGTGTGAGGGAGAAAGCACAGGAAACAGAAAAAATCCACGAATTGGTTTGCAAATAAGACCAGAAAATACTATGTAATTCTGCTGACAAGATAAGGCAAAATAAAATAACCGCAGACACCCCCAACAGATCATGCCGCATAAGAGCTCTTACCAGTTCCCCATCTTAAATCACACGTGGCCTCAGGATCAACTGCACAGTCTGGGGCCCAGTGCAGAATGGGACAGTGGAGCTTGTTGGAAATGATGGGGAATTTCAGGACAATGACAGCGGAGCATCAAGCCGGCAGGGAGTCCTGTGTGATGGCACAGGCTCCACAGCTGGCAAGGAGGCCTTGGCTGGCATTGACTTTTCTCCGTGTCATCTAGTTCTGCTTGGAAAGGCCCAGCG